ACGTTATTATAGTTTATATATTGTTTTAAACTACAATGTCGGGGCCCCTCGCGCCTCTGGCCCTGGTGCCCCCTCCCCCGTCAGCGCCCGAGTGTGACGCCACTGATTGTAACAACTGCTGATTGTAGCAACCCCAAAACGAACGCCGCTTCAGAAAATACAGTACAAGTATACAAATTATTCTCGCAAACTTCATATCCTCTCGCGTTGTTTGTGTTAAGTTAACTTAATTTATTTTTATTTTTTGAAGTGTACAGTTTTTTTGAATATTTTAAAATCCTTAAGTTAAATTAATTTTTTTCCTTTTTAATTTTCAATGAAAAATAAATGCGAACTTTAATATTGACCTTCGTACAATGTAAACCTGTAATCATATGACTACTTATACAGAATTTTACTATATTATAGGCCTAGACTAGGACCAGGCCTCCTACTATAGTATAGAGGCCTAGTCCAAGACCTTGTTGCAAATCCCAACCCACATAAGCCTTGCCTATAATGCCTCGCATAGGGCTCGTGATCGCGGTACCCTGACCATTAAAAATTCGCAGATGCACTGGGAAGCGTTGTTCACGTCATTGGACTGCCGCGAAAAATGATTCCCCTATCATTAATGGAACAGGCCCACGTCATGCTTGGCTGATTAGTTTTGATTTACATTTCGCAAGTCTAGTGCCATACGCAACAAAACTCCATTTCTAGTGTTGTTGTCAAATGCATTTCAAACCAGGCTGGTTTTTGATTTACGTTTTGGAATAGAATTTGGAGAGGGCGTTTGATCAAGTTAGACCTACGTTTTAAATTTGAATTACATTTTAAAGAAATTAAAACTACATTTGGAAAAGTTTGAACTACGTTTTGAAAAATTAGAACTTCATTTTGAAAAGCTAGATCTACATTTTGAGAAATTTACGCCTACGTTTTAATAAATTAGACATTGAATTTTACAATTACATTTGGATTTTAACATGGACTTTTGCTGCGTATGGCACCCCATAGTCGCGGACCAATTTCATCTAAGCGGGACCGGTATTAGCAGCTAAAATCAACTCGGAGGACCGATTTTAGTGGTCCGGCGGACCGATTTTGGCGGCCAAAATATGTCCGCCGGACATGTTTTGGCTCGGACTAATTTTGGCATGACAGGTGTACTGTACCAACATAAAAACTTCAAGTTGTAGGCCTACGAAATGAAATTTGTTTAACTGACGTAAATGCAAAACTTGTATAAACATACACACCAACCAATGTAATACAGTAACATAATAATAATAATAATAATAATAATAATAATAATAATAATAATAATAATAATATAATAGTAATAATAATAATAATAATCACAAGTTTAAGCATACATATCAATATAGGCCTAAGGATATAAGCCTACATACATTATAAAGAGCAAATAATATTTATTATTTATTATCATACAAATATTAATAATAAAAATGTAGGTGGTCTTTAGTGTATCCGAATTAATATTTACTTTTATTGTGTTTAAGTTATACTCATTTTATCATTGAGTTTGTTAATAAATGGTAACTGTAGTGTCACCGTCGCTTCACGGGTAATGTATCTGAAATCATGGTAATTAAGTGTTTATTCCAACATGGTCAAGCCATAGTGCACAACCTGATAGTGTGTACCCAACTTACTGTATATAACTTACAATTGAATTGTAAGAGTTTCATTATGATATCACTAATGTTTTAGAAGAGCAACATACTAACCTTTATTATTATGTTGTACCGCTTACACAAAAGTGCAAGCCAACAAGATGAGGAAAAGAAATAAAGTCAATGCAAAATGACTAGATTAGAGTGACTGTTTCAAGTTCTTTTGTAATCATTTTTCATGGCTCGAAAACATAATTATAACATGAGCTAATCAGTAGGTAATAAATAAGATAAATCATTTTTTATGAATGTTTAGTTTGAACAAAATATATAAGCGGACCTATAGTAGACCTTTCAGCTAAGTCCCGGCCCTTAGTTATTGTTGCAAAGGTCCAACAAACGACAGTGTAACAATATACGCAACCACTTGTGTTTGTGAGACAACACGTGTGTTTTTTGGACACATGCGTATTCCTGACACTGTTCTATGTTTGGTCAGTTTTTATGTTAGATTGACACTCCGGGAAGGTCCATTATGATTGCGACGTAAATTCAAACACTTCCAAAGATGAGTATTCTGAAAACATAGTGTAGAAATAAATGTTTAATTGTAATCTTTAAAATCAATTAAATACAAATTATAAACCCCGGAGCTTACGGAATATTAAGCCTCTTGAACCCACCGGGGCGTTGCACTTAGACCGGATCTACAGGTTTTTTGGCATTCTCCCTCCTTCCCCCCACCCTTCTTGTTGTCAACTTTCTCGGTATAGTCCCTATCTGTGCAAGGTCAGTTGTAAAACCAGTGGAAAGAGAGGAGGGTTAATGCCTTTTCAGTCGCGAAGACTTGCCCCAACATTTCCTGGGTGTTCAATACATTTCTTAGAGAAAAAAAGAAATTTTTACAAATTTTGAAATTGTAAAAATCGAATAAACGAAATTTTAAAATCCCTAAGTTAATAAAGTTTATGTGGGTTTCACATCCTGTGATAACTTGAAGGTGACTCTCTGGCTCTGTCTACTGACACTTCGGTCGAACATCTCCTCCATCCCGTCGGGGACTTCAGCCCGCTCCGTTCGGATCGCCGCCACTACTGGGAGGGGTCTACTAACCATCTTTTTTTTAAGAATAATGCTTTACATTGAAGAAACTCTCCTCGGACAATCTAATATATTCCATGTGTTAACTTACAGTAATAATATAGTCATCGTCATCACATGCATTCAGTGTACGTTTAAATACGATTGTCGTTCTCCCTCCCTCCTCAAACCTATACAGAATATCGCAGTCATTCGATACATCCACAATATTGAACTCCATCACGATGGCGTGCATTTCAATAGTTGGAGTATTTCCGTAATAAGAAAATATGCAACTATGATAATGATGTTGCGCAAACAGTAGATATATAAATAGCATCAAATCTTGTTGTGGGGAAACAATAAGATTGAAAAGATGTTCAATGCTGAAATACTCTTTTTAGGAGAATTTCAGCAGGCACACTGCCATCTACAGTGTTCTGTTAGTGTTAGTAGTCTATAGGCAAGCAGATACATCAAATTATTGACAACATATCTTTAAAAGCATGGGCAATAATATCAATTAAGTATTAAGTCTACCCTTGCAAATTAATGTTAAAAGTGATCAATTGTTTATTCTGGTCCTCTCCTATTTTCAGTACAGTTTTTTTAGTTGTTTGTTGTACTTGTTTATTAAATGTTTACCAATTGCTTGCGGCCATAGTTTCATACTTAACTATCAACTTTTAGATAAGTTATTCATAAACAGCTACGTTTCTACATTTTATTTCTTTGGTCATAAATTATTACATGTGGGCCAACACTTTGATACACTATTTATTTGCGTTCAGAATACTACTCATAAATGTTATGTTGAAATTGTGCTACAGAATAACTTAACTGAAAATGCCTTACAGTGTATCAACCTCAGTTAGTAAACGATTGTATTTATAAACTTGCCTCTTGGAAATCCTGTGGCTTAGATATGGTTTGTCTAGTGAACACTTTGAGACATTCTAGTGCAAAATTAAGTGTTTTACTCTTTTTAAATTACTATAATAGGAACGGAAGCTCAATGTATGTCTGCTTCTTAGATGCTAGTAAAGCCTTTGACAGAGGTAACCACTAGATATTCTTTAAAATATTTATTGATAGAAATGTACCGCTAACTGTTGTACGAGTATTAAAGACTTGGTATTGTAGACAAACATTTCTAATACACTGGGGAACCAAATTGTCTAGAGAATTCTCTATCACTAATGGAGTGACACAAGGTGGTGGTGTGTTATCTCCCTTTTGTACAAAGATTATATTTCTAAACTAAATGATAAATTAAGTGAGGCTAATCATGTTGTGTTTGTAACAATATCAGGATAAACAATTTAAGTTATGCTGATGACATGGTTATCCTTTAACCTTGTGTGAGTAGCCTTCAGAAATTGATACTTACCTGCCAGGAATTTGCACAAGAGCATATTATATATAATGCAAAGAAATATTTGTGTATGGTTATTAGTTCAAATATTTGAAAATTGACTGGAGCTCCCAAGAATTTATCTTTTAGAAAAAGAAACTTAATTTTGATGATTCATTTTAGTGTCATGGACATATTATTTCCAATGATATGAAAGACGAAAATGATATTAAAAGACAGTTTCGCTCTTTATGTAAAAGAGGTAATAGTCTCCTTAGCAAAAAAAATGATGATGTCAAATGTTTATTGTTTAAGAGTTACAGTGTCAATATGTACTGTGCTTCATTATAGGCTAGTTATAATGTATCTACCATTAGACCTTTTGAAGTATACTACAATAATGCATTTCGAATGTTTCTAAAGTTACTACGTTTCTGCAGTGCTAGTAAAATGTTCGTATCTAGAAATATTCCCCTTTTTCAATGAATATATTGGAAAATCCATTATCGAATTTCGAAAAAGGGTCACTTAATAGTTGCAACAAGTTAGTTGTTACTGTGTCACAGCACATTATTAAAAGCTTCAAGCTTTATCTTAAATGGAACACCTTCTTTTTTTTTCTTTTTTTTTTTGTATTCATCTTATCTTTCATTGTAGATTTAAGTATATGGATATATTCTGAAATATAAAGAGAATAAATAAATGAATAATCACCCAAGCCATATGTACATTTATTTAAGGTTGTATTTTAATTCCAATTCGAGACGACTTTGGAAACTTGAAATTTTGGGTGGTCTCGGGGTTTGGTCTCGAATTAGAAACCTGTAAAGAGAAACCACTGCCTATGAGTGGTGGTCACCAAACAACATAATTATAAGATAACCGTACTTAAATTCTCTAAAAAAAAAATTAAAAAAAACCACCAAAGAAGTGCTCGGACACAGGCATTAGGACAATTCAATGTATTGTTTTAATGTTGATAACCTGCAAACATTTCGTTCGTATTCAATGCCTTCAACTCGTTTGATTATTTTTTTTTCAAATCTGCTCATGATTTGGATGTTATTTTGTCAATTTAAAGAATTTCAAATCAACATATACCCTAGTGAGTCAGCACTCATTTTAATGAGTATATCCTCTCTGTTAATCCGCCACTTAAACTCATAAAATCATAACAATGCCACGAGCAAGCAAATAACAAAGATGTTTTTCACTCGATTAAATAAATCGGTATATAAGCATTCTTTTCTGCAAATTATAATTTTCATATTTTTAAAATATATATTACAGTCACTTTTTTGTTTAATGTACGGAAGGTTTAAACAATACAAAATTGAAAAAAATAATGTAATAAAAGTTATACATTACTGTGTTATTACAATATTTAGTGTGTATCGGATGGGTAAAATTATACAAAGTACGGTACCAGTTGTGAGCCCATTATAGGCCTAATACTCTTATGAACAAACTCTGCTTGGCTGATTAAAAACAAATATTGTATTGTTGATGCAATACCTGTATTTTCCTTGTTTGTTGGTTTGAGAGAGTACTTCAACAGTATTAGCCCTACCCAATTGCTTGCATTACACACCAATCAGAAACAAATTAGAACTGTCAAAGTATGGAAATAAGAGCTAGCAACTTTGGTTAGCATAGGCCTAAACATGGAGGAGTCCAAAGGAATATTCCCAAAATACCGTTCAGAAAATTGACTACATCTAACATAAAATCAATATAATACCTTCTCATCATAAGCAATTGAACGACAAGACATTAAGGTTAAGCATAAACAATTTGTGATATAGAAATCAAATCAAATCTTTAGGGTAATAACTATTGATAACATGGTCGCGTCGTACGTCGCTCCCTGAGTTGGCATGTAGTCAACAGAGAAACGAAGTAAATAATAAAGATAATTCATACAAAAACCTTACACATACAAATACCATTATTCTATAATGCTTTTAGTAATTTAGTGGAGATGAATGCCTGTTCATAATCTTGAATAATGCTCTACAACGTCAGCTTACACGACAAAATGAGTGTAATCGACAAACTTAATGACATAACCTTCCTGGAGACACTACCATTCGTAGGCATGGTACAAACTCCTTTTTTTACAACACGATCATTCTCGCTGAACCACGCAGGAAAATCATACAACTGTACATCCTGCAAAATAAAAACATAAATTTTGTAAAATTAGTGGAATTTACTGTACCTCTAGCATAATAATTTAAATAATAAATAATAATAATGATAATGATGATAATAATAATAATAATAATAATAATATTATTATTATTAAAAATAATAATATTATTATTGTTATTATATTATTATTTAATATTATTATAGTTATTATATTATTATTTAATATTATTATAAATAATAATATTATTATTATTATTATAAATAATAATATTATTATTAATAATAATAATAATAATAATAATCTGTCTCTTATACACATCTAGATGTGTATAAGAGACAGATATAATATAATATAATATAATAGATACGGTAAATTATATAAAACAGCTTGATGGAAAACTTACACCGATATTGTCCCACTCATAATTCATACAATAATTTCTTCGCTTGCTCCCATATGACACTTGGCGTAAGCCATCTCGCAATACGCTTGGTTCCACTGATCCCAGTGTCTCGATCAAACATTGAGGACTCCAATAGTTACAAATATCATATTCGCTGGTTAGTTAAGTAAAATAATATTCAACATGATAAGGCCTATAGACAACAATATACACGTCAAAATAAAAAGACATAACTCAAAACACCATGATATATGCTTAGACGGCAAGAAAATAATCTGTGATAAAATAAAGGTTTTAGCGTATAAACGCCTGTGTTTCTCGCGGTATAGATACATAAACTTTAACCTTTAAATATTCGTTTTTATTAAACTACGCCGCTCTCATGAATTTATATAGATTTGTCCATGACTCCAGCAAAACTGTTACAACTCCAAAAATTCGCTGAAATAAACCACCAAAAGCGAAAAGGCTAACAATCTGGTGAAGGTTTTGCACATGGAAATTAACCTGTGCATTCATAATGTCAAACACTTATGCCCGTGCAACAACAGCCTTTATTTTTATTCACAGACTGTTTACCTTTACAATTTATGCACTCCGACAAGGTGGCAGCTTATAAACTTTTGGTTAGAGAAGCAAAAACGACATAAACATTAATTGATGAAAAAATAATTTCTGCTAGAGATTCAAAACATTTAGAATTTCAATAGACTGTGTCTAGTTTTAGTAGTAAATAATGAATATATTTTACTTACCTAATATTGAACGTATTGTAGAATGCAAATCTGTCCGGTGAAGACAAACAGGCACCAGCTTTGGATTGTTTTGGATAGTAAACCACAAAAGCCAAACACATTTCTTGTCTTGTGCCCAAGCCGCCCTAGAAGGTAAAAAATATAAGTTTAGTAAATTCAACCTTTTTCTGAACAGTTGTGTATGTTTTAATATCTTAATCAATGAAGTTTTCTTTTATTATTATTTTTAAACAACATAGCCCGAACATTATTATTAACCTAAATATTTAATTAAAATAAAATTTCTTGTTTGCCCTGTAATTAATTGCAATTAAAAATATGTCGGAACACTTTTCGGCCAATTTCTGGAGCACCGCTGCCTCAGTCACTTTTCGTGTAATGAAATCCCTGGTGGGATTCACGGGGAAAGTTTTTCTTTTATGGCTTTTATGACCCAGAATTGTTCTTTTAAACCATAATAGCTAGGTTCACATTCAGAATTTAACGTGATCTAGTGGATCATGATCAAGCCAGTCACTTTATGTGAACCAACCAGAATCAAATAACGTGCTCAGCTTAATCACCTTATTGTGATCTAGTGGAGCATGTTGATTCATCATGA